GCTAACATGGGGTTAGTTCGTTAAATTACAATAAAGCCTCGTGCAGTTTGCAGCAAGCTCTCGAATCTGCCTGGTGATTGGGGTGACCGCGAACCTGGCCTGAGACCCCGGATACTTGAGTTTTCGGGGGTCTAACATTACGATCTAATAATAGTGTTATAGTATGATGAAACAAATGCCCTTAATTATTGGCAGATACTCAAGGAGAAAGTGCTCAGTTGTATCTTTGGGAGAAAGAAGATAACATACAATCTGAGGGATGAGGAGTTGTTTGTCACATGGAAGAGAATAAAATGTACTGCAGGTAGAGGGAACAATATTAAGAAGGCAGAGCCAGAGATGTGCACTAAGTTAGGTCATTTCAGATGTTACCCGTTACACTTGTACAACCTTTAATTCTTTATCACCAACTCCCTTTTTATTTTATTATTATTATTATTTTTATTTTGCTACTGCAGAGACAAGGTTGAGAAAGAATGAGCTACTCTGCTGGACTAGTTTACAGAGAGTTTGTAAAAGCAATTCTAGAGTCAGCTACATTTTTTTTTTCTGTCAAAAAGTCCAGCTTTATCGATACTGAGTGTGTCAAGGAGATAGGGAGAAATGAAGCTGTATGACCATAGGGACTGGACTCTGAAGGGTTGAGTAAGAAGGCCCAGGCTTCTTACTAATCCTAGGATTTTAGACTTGACCTTTTAACAGTGGGGAGCCACAGGATGCTGTGAAGGAGGGACATGATGAGAGTTTTGTTCCAGAGAGTGATCCTAACTGTGACAAACAGAAGGAAAGGTGTTAGTGAGTGTGTGAGTGGAATCAGGTTGTTGTGAAAATGGGGGTAAGATAGAAGTTGCTCTGGACTAGGTCATGACAGAGAAGGGCTAGTAGGTTTGGATGCAAGATGATTCTGAAAGAAAATAAACAGGACTAGAAGACATGGCAACAAAACAAGGACATCAACAAGAGCAGGAGCTTAACTGTTGCTGACTTATTATACAGAGGTTTGACGATGTCCATACATCCGTACTTCTACGAAACCATCATCTCCTGTCAAATATCCATCCGAACACCCTTTTATTCCCTTGTTTCACAAAAGATCTGAGCAGGCTAAGGTTGATCTTTTGTTTGATAACCTTAAATTCTAAGCATTTAGAATGGAGAGAAGTGAACATTATGAATGTACTGTAATTTCCTACATCCTTGTGGTAGGAAATACGTCAAATGTCTTTTGAACATAAGGCTCATCATACTTGGCATGGAAGGCAGCCACTGCAGTGTGTGGGACAGCCATGTGCAGAAACTAACTTGGATCTTTCGGGGCCCAGGTCAGGAAAGCACAGGGCAAAGCTATTCCTGGTTTTAAAAGAGTATGGCCGGGAGGGCTCATTCTGTCCCTTAGAAAGATGCTTGAACATCAGAACAAGATAGTTTTCTTGGGCTGAGAGTCTGCAGTTGTGAAAAGGACTTAAAAAGAAAGGACAAAGGAGAGACAGTGAGTGCAGTATGCAAGTTCCTGCTGGGAGCCAAAGGAGCTTCAGGAGTCCCTGCCTGGAAAAAGAGAAAAGGTAATAGCAGATGCAGTCCCCTCCAGGGACCAGCCACATGAGAAAGTCCAGACAAAGGGGGCCAGGAGGAGAAAGAACAGAGAAGATGGGATCTTACTGGGCAATCACACGCCCTTCATCTCCTACCCTGACTTGGATTGCAGCTACTTCTCAGCAGTTGGCTTTTATTGATTTCTTTAACTAGCTTGGGCTGAAG